TAGCTCATCGTCCAGACTCACCATTTCTTCGCCCTTGAAGCTGAGAAGGTCCTCTGCCTTGGAGTTCCCACTGCACTTCCAAACGTGTACCTTGGTACCTCCCGGTGTGGGGGGGCCAATCACACGCCAGAGAGTGGAGGGGCAGGAGGGAGAAGAGAACCAGGTATCTCTGGCAGGATGTCTGTTTGGTTGGAGACATAGAGTCCAGGAAGAAGGTATTAGCTGTTTTAGAGCATGGAAGTTTTATTCTCTGATGTCACGCTCTCGGCAGCTTCACACGGAGTTGACAGCTGGCCATTGATGATAAGGTGGTTGATTTTTTTTTTATATAAGGTGATGGAAGGATGCATGACTACCTATACTTTTCTGTTGTGTCTGCCGTCTGCACCCGAATAGAATGCCCGGCCACTACAGCTGTATTTACGGCCACGCTCAGTTCTATTCGGGTGAACGACGGTCGCACATCACCTTGACCACACTGACGCTACCCATGTTCACTTCTGAGGGCCTCGCTGCACGGCACACGAAACGAAGAATTTCACGAGTTCGTTTCGTGTTCACATCGCCCCACAGCCACACAAATCACCATCGTCAAAAAGAACCCTCGCAAGGAGTCAGGTCGTCCTCAGAAAGAAAAGGAAACTGAGGTTCACGAGGAGGTTGCTGGCGCCCGCCTGCAGCAGCTTGATTTTTGTGGGTCCTTGCAAGGACCCACGAACCACCCGCCCTGACTCTCGCTCGCTAGGTCCCCGAATCCTCACTCCGATCATGACCAGGTACAATGCACCTGTTCTTCCTTCCGAGAGTTAGGGCCTCGCTGCACGACTCTAGACTCTCAAAATATTTCGAGAGTTCGACTAGCGTTGTCATAGAGGCGAGGCACTACTCTAGACTCTCAAATATTTCGAGAGTTCGACTAGCGTTGTCAGAGAGGCGAGACTCTCGAAATACCCTCCGTCGCTGCACTTACTGTAGAACCTGTTACACTAGCTGCACTCTCGAACCCCCGGAACCTGTTACACTAGCTGCACTCTCGAAACCCCGGGCCTCGTCGGACTCGACAGAAGACATGTACCGCTACGCTACGGGACAATGCCAGGCCGGTATGGCCACCGGGACAGGAGGTCCACTCTCGAAAAAACGAGCCTGTCGGCGGGCAACTCCCAAGGACACTTGCGAATTCGTGTTTTGCAGGCGGGCGACTTTCGATGTTTCGAGAGTGGCGATATAGAGTGCCTTTTGACAGCTCTCTATCCAGTTTCCAGAGTTCCCTGATCGAGAGTAAGGGCCTCGCTGCACTACTCTCGAAATGTGCAGAACGAAAGTGAATCTTCCACTAGAATATGAAAAGATACACCGCCATGATTTTTGTCATTTGTGCATTTCGAGAGTGGTGCAGCGAGGCCCAAGTGCAGCGAGGCCCAAGTGCAGCGACGACCCACTCTCGAAAATTCAAGAGCCTAGAGTAGTGCAGCGAGACCCTTAACTTCGAGATTGCTTTCTCACGTTTATTCACGCGGTTGTGTGGACTTACGAGCCAGTATGGGCGTTGCCACATGGCACACGAAACGAAAAACGAAACGAATGTATCTTCCCCCAGAAAATGGCCAGGTTCATTGGTTTGCTATAAATAGTACCGAGTGTATTTTGCCACCTTTGGTGGGTGGATGCACTCGTTTTGCTTGCCGTGCGCCGGGACCCTATGGGCCTCGTTAGACCCTCCTTGGAAAATCCTCAAAAATTAGGATGAAGTCCTTCGAAAATTTTCTGGTTTTCGACGTCGTGGTTACACCACGTCCTAATTCAATGGGTCCCAAGGAAAACCCTTGGAGGTCTCCATCGGCCAATTTCATACACATACACGCGGCTGCGGGGTTGGATGTCCGTGGATGTCCGTGCTTCCTCGGGCGTGGTTCAATGGCAGCGGCGGGGAGGCTTACCCGCTGACGGAAAAAAAGGGCGCCAACATCCCCGTTCCAATTTCAAATTTTGAACCCTCCATTGTGACACACCAGTGCGTGAGGCATCCTAGCGGCTGGACTGGATCCATCAGTTGTTGCATCAACTGCCTCTGCCTGCGAATGAACAATCTCATCCTCAGGCGGGTTGTCGTTCTGTCAATGCGATAACACATGGCGACAACTGACACAGTTGCGACCACCATGTTTCTCTCCCCATGTTTCTCTCCAATGTTGTTAATGCCTTCGCACCACCCGGGAGCTCTCGTTCCATCGTCAGGACTTGTAATGCGCAAGCACCCACCACTCGTTCGCACGCCGGTGCCCTCGCTGCACCTGCACGTCGATGGGGACTGCGCTTGCACTCTCCACGTTTCACGGAAGTCTTACGTTCGCGCTAAGCTGTGACGGCCCGAAGAGCATGCGGAACACGAAGGCGACGTCGCAGTAGAAAACCGTTACGCATACACACTACGTCGCCCAATGTTCCAATGTCATCCTTTGAAGCCATGGCCGCCATCATGCCTCCGCACAGACGGATGCACCCGATTCTGTGTCGTTATCAGAATCCATTGTGCAATTCTGCTGCGCCATGGCATCGGGTGTGATCCCCCGGGCAATGCAGAGATGGTGGATGAGGAAAGGACGGGAGGGACATAGGAGGATCTCCAACAGGTTGACGACGCAACGGAGGGCTACTACACGGAGAAGCTGTGGAGTGGAGTAGTCAATGGTGCGCATCGACTGTCTGCTGGAGGTTTCCCGCCTGTCCATCGTCGTCTTCCTCACCGTTCGTCGTTGCTGCCTGCTGCCAGGACCCCGCACAACGACAACACACGTTGAACAACAGGACAAGGAGCAGGAGAAGAGTGGCCAGCAGCAGGAGCGGGAACCGCCGGAGGACGTCTGCCATGAATTGCAACTTGCGAGGCGTGTACCAAACAAAGCTTGCATTAATGCACACGACAATAGCTGCCAAAAGACGCTAGGCACATGCCTGCAATCCATCGACGGTGCTTCAACATCGCTTGTAGAAAAATAAAAAATTAGACTGTTCAACACCACCGCCGGCGACGCGCACATGGAAAACCCTGCTTCGTGAAGCGCCTTGCAGCTGAAGAACCACCCCCACGCATTGTCATGCCAACGGTAACGGTGGTAGGCCGTTCGGGGGCCGTCAGGTACTGGAGGCCGGCGATGTCCGCCCAATGGACCACGGACGACCTGTGCACCAACATAGACTCCAAATTTTCCTGTCGGCACTCGCTCCAGAACACTCCGTCAATCGCAGCTCCTTGAACCCAAGGGACCTCGCGAGGACCCCTTGAATCCAAGGACGTTTTGGCTGGGGGTTCTAAGGAATCTAAGGAAATCTCGCCCGAGCATTTTCACATTCATTCAAGGAATTTGGTGAATTAGGATGCCGAGCGGATTTCCTAAGAATCGGATTTCCAAGGAGGGTCTAACGAGACCCTATGTCTCTCTTCACATCACATGACCCAGTACAACACACCCTGATCGTGAATGTATACAAGCTGTCTTACCGGTCCAGTACAGTCCTAACGAGGGTGCGTTGTATTTGAAAGAGGGGGGGGGAGGGAAGACGAGCCGATTGACCGTTGATGAGGCTATGCCTCAGTATGCTGTCAATTGGTGGATCAACTGGTCTTCTCCCCCCCCCCCTCAAGTACAACGCACCCGCACACTGTACGGACCGTAAAGATAGCTTGTATGCATACGTTTATGATCACGGTGCCTTATCTTCGGGGGAAGAAGACGGTAGGACAAAAATAATCTTATTCACTTGTCATTAGGATCATGGTATTGCAACCTTCACACTTCTAACAAGAGGGAAGGGGAAAAAAAAAAAAAATCACGAATATAAATCACGGTCAGCGCTGAAAATATTTATGACTAATCTCCTGTCCGAGGGCCGGAAAAAAAAAAAAAAAAAAAAAAAAAAAAAAAAAAAAAACCTGTTCATTGTGATCGTTTCGTGTTGTTTCTCTTTTTTCCTCGAAAAAAAAAAATCCCATTTGGGGCTGGCTTCGTCGATTCGTTGTATTCAGCACCTTTCACCACCTCTTTCTCTTCTTTTTTTTATTATTATTTTCATATACCCCTCTCATGTATGCAAAAATAATCCCCCCTCACCACCTGTCATGCCCTTTTTTTTTTTTTTTTTTTTTCCATTCCGCCTCTTATGTCTTTTTATTAAGTATTTTAACCCCTCCCTTTTTCATGGAGAGCCAGAGTCACCTCGCGGCCACACTTGCAGTAGCTCCAAAAATCCCGTCTGTATTTACCCCCAAATCCCGTCTGTATTTACCCCCAAATCTACCTAACATTCGAAAACAAAGAAAAAAAAAATCCCGTCTGTACTTACCCCCAAATCTAGCTAACATTCGAAAACAAAGAAAAAAAGTAAAAGAAATTCCGGCGAGTCTCACCACCTCACTAAGGCACCCATTACCCGTCTTCCCTCGAATACAAAGCGCACCCTCGTCATGACTGTATCGAGCCGGAAGCATGGCTTCCATACATTCTCATGAATGATGATCAAGGTACGCCCAGTCGGTCGGGGCATGTCGAATGTCGTACCACTCAATCCAGAAAAGGTGATGACAGCGAACCAAGAGCCATAATCACCGGCCACGTGGAGGGCGTCTGTTTTTCGTCTTCCCTGCACTATGACTTTCTGACATGATTGGTTGTGTACCTGAACGTGACTAGGGCCAGATTCGCTGGTACATCCATCCCCCATTCCTAGATAGGTTTTATTGAATAAGCTGAGGATGATGATGATGACGATCATCATCATAATCGTGATGACGTTGGTCACGATAATCATGATGATCATGATCATGATGATGATATTGATGATCATGATCATGATGATGATCTTGATGATCATGATGATCATGATGATGATGATATTGATGATCATGATGATCATGATGATGATGATCTTGATGATCATGATGATGATCTTGATGATGATGATGATGATGATCTTGATGATCATGATCATGATGATGATACTGATGATCATGATAATATTGATCATTATCAACCAGCGGATCGGTTGGATTGGCATGTGCGCTGCTGGAGTCGGATGACAGCCGTCTGGCCTGCTGCTGCTGCTCCTGCCCCTGCTCACTTGGGCGGCGCGACCGCGGCGGATCGTTTATCGCCGCCGCAGTGGCTGAGAGGAATTCGACCACCTCATCAACGCTACCGTCATGATCATGATCATGATCATGATCGCCCCCTTCCTCCTGCGTTTCCCCCTCGACGCCTGACACCACAGGAGGTACCTTCTCCTCCTCGTCCTCCTCCCTCAGGGGGGTGTTTGAGGTGAACTCTGCTATGGGCATGGCCCCCTCTTCGAAAACATCTGGCTTGTTGGGGTTATTCTCCAAAATCCATTTTGCTAACCAGTGGATTGCTGTCAAGGGGTCCGAAGTGGGCTTAGCCTTGGCCAGAGTAACCAGTCCCTTGAGCAGGACCGATTTGAGGTGCTTGTCTATGTAATTGGACACTTTCGTCAGGTCTGGCATCCCATCTGTGCTGATTATCTCCGCGTATCCCGCGCGCCTGATGACCGAAGGATGCCGCTTCCGGAAAAAGGTAAACTCCCCCAGTCCCCAGCCGACCCCCTCCTCACTCTCCATCACCTCGTTCATGGTTGACGTCACCTCCCGCAAGATGTAATCCATAAGAGGCTGCGGGTCGTGGAGAAGCGTGCCTGCCGTTTCCGATGCCACGTGATCTTCTCTTGGCAGTTCCTTGGGCACGTCAGCGCTGGGGCCGGGATCGGACATCTTTCGCGCGCGCTTAATTATGGCCCCATGTTGCCCTTTCAGGGGTACAGCTGGCGGATACCGACCCCAACCAATCACCGTGTCGCGATCTTCGAGGACATCATCCACTGCCAGATGGAGTTGCCACGCAATTTCATCATCCTCCTCAGCCTGATAACTGAGGGATGAAAGGTCTTCGACCAGCTCGTCCACCGTAAGGCTTCCCTCCCTCTTCTTCTCCCAATGAGAATAGTCGGTGCCATCATGGTCCGCCATCGACGCATCGGCGGAGAGGTGATCAACCACCTCGTCCACGTGAATACTTCCCGCCCTCGTCTTCTTCTCGATCGGCGGATCGGTCGCATTGTTGTTGGCATTTGCACTGCTGGAGTCTGATGAAAGCCTTCTTACCTGCTGCTGCTGCTGCTGCTGCCCACTTGGGCGGCGGGACGGCGGCGCATGGTCCGACACCGCCGCCGCAGCGGCTGAGAGGTGTTCAACCACCTCATCCACGTGAATACTTCCCACCATCTTCTTCTTTGCGCTGCTGGGGTCAGATAGCCTTCTCACCTGCGGCTGCTGCTGCGGCGGCGGCGGCTGCTGCTGCTGCTGCTTGCTCGGACGACGAGGCTGCTCCATCATGAGATGCGCGATGGCGGGAAGGGAAGCGTTCTTATGCTGCCAGCTGTTGCCACGTCAGCACGAGTGCCCCTCCCCAAACGCGTTCACTCTCTCTCTCTCTCTCTCTCTCTCTCTCTCTCTCTCTCTCTCTCTCTCTCTCTCTCTCTCTCTCTCTCTCTCTCTCT